TCGCTTATTTACACCACAAAATTACAGATGCGTCTGTGTCAATGCTTAAGAGCCTCATGATAATGTTTAATGATCCAAGAAACCAAGCACTTCAGCTGAAATCAAACTATACTTGGCATTCCCGCAGAAAATATTTCTCATATTTTTATCTTTTTGTCTTAGATAAGAATTATTAAAACCGAACCCAATATTATGCGCATAATCTGAAAATAATTACTATTAAAATAAATGAAAGAGTCACTAATTCTTATTTTGGGAGAAAAAAATTCATTTTACTTTTGCATTAAAAGTTTTCACTTCAGTAATATATAAATTACAATTTTTTTTGTATTAAATCAATAAATTATTATTTTAATATTTAGAAATTAATATTCAAAGATAATATTATCTTTATTAATCTTAAGCAAGCTTCATTATTAGGCATTTCTTTAGCAAACAAAAGGAATTTTTTTGACCCAGTTTAGGTTAATAAATTCTACATAATGAAGAATATTTTTTTTATTCAGATCTTCTTGAAATATAAAAAACCGCTATTGAGTAGATGAAAAAGGTGTTTTTATTCTCGCAAAATTAAAGATGCGTCGGTGTCAATGCTAAAGAGCTTCATAATAATATTTTATGTTCAAAGAAGCCAAAACTTTTAGATGAAAGTAAACCGATTGGCATTCCTAAAGATAATGTGTCCCACATTTTTATCTTTTTTCCATAGTAAAGAGGGCTAACATAAATTGCATCGATTTCTTTAAAAACGAGTAGCTACAATTTCTTTTTCCCCACCGTTTTTTGAGTATAAACAAATAACAAAAACCTGATTGGTAAATTCACTTTACATGCCGAAATTCGTTTCGAATTGTTGCTTTTTCATGGATCCGAAATGAGCACTGTAAAATATTTATAGACTGCTGTTATTGTTTTATTTAGAACATATCCCTTCCACGCGGTATTTCTGTGTTTAAATGTAAAAGGAGTAATCAAGTTCAAAAAACAAGAAATTTTAAAAATTAGTTCTTTTTAACTATAAACTAGAGTATTTTTTTAAAAAAAAATTGAGGAAAAGCATCCCTACTCGAATTTTACTTTTAATAGAAAACATACCAAAATCCTATTTCGAATCGTTGCCTAATTTTTGGAAGCTGGTTCTTAAAAAAAAAAAATGAAATGTGGAGTATATTAAAAGGAAAAGGTGATAAAGCTGCAAGAGTAAAATAAGTTTGACAAACAAGATTAAAAAAAACTTGACAGTTTAATAAGTCAAATGATTATTTCTAGTAACCAAAGAAGTTACAATTAAGAAGGACTGAGAACAAATTCCTAATTAATCCAAACGATCAAAAACGCATAAAATAATCTTGAACAATTTTTCTATTCTCTGGGAGGTGGTGATAGAGGTGGCATTAAGCACCACCTCTATTAATAGTCTTACGATAATTCAAGAGAGAGGTCTTTACAAATTGTTTTAGCAAAGATATGAAGCTCCTTAATGTTCTGTAAAAAAATGGAGTGTTGCATTAAAAACTTTGAAAATGTCAAAAATCAATAAATGTCTACACATTAGCGTGCTTACTGATTTGTCAATACCAGTTAGACAACTTTAATAAAATTAACAATTGAAATTCATCAATAATGTTTATTTTGTGCTTATTTTTTAGGAATGTTTTTAAAGTATGTAGTTTTAAATAGCAAATTTTTTTTTTGAATGAAGTCGGTCGAATTGTTTTCGAGAAATCAAATTTTTAAATATGCGTCTTGAATACACACTGAGAAAAAAAGTATGGTCAAAACGACCAGAATATGGTAAAATTTACAGTGCTTATGACTCTATGGAAACACAAAAAGCACGGTATTTTAACCGAAGTGCTTTAGTAATGATTTTGGTGAAATAAAATATGGTTTTATAATCTGTGATAAAATTGGGTAAATATGGTAATTTTAACATGATACTATAAGGCATGGCGTAAAAATCATTTATTCGATTAAATTTGCTTTTCAGTTTACTATTTTTTACTAAATGTGTGGTAATAATTGCTATAATATTGAAAACCAGAATTTATGGTAAGCCGTTATTATATGAACGGAAAAATTGACAAATGATTGGTTTAAATACAGTATACTTTGGTTTTACTAACCAGAATTATGTTTTTTTAGAAAAAATATCATTACCATACAGTGCGGTAATTTTACCAGAATTTCTTTACAAACAACAAAAATACAAACATTATGAATATAATGTTTGCATATATATTGTTTATAACATTATAAACAAACATTAAAAATACTAACAATACAAACATTATGTACATTAAAAAATTCAGAAACTTAAGCTTTTTAAGTCAAAATCAAAAACTCGAATGTAAGCAGTCATTAAACGTATGATAAAACTCAACGCTGTAACTAATAACTTACTTATGAAGAAATAATATTTTATCGGCAGAAATTTTGCCCTATAACTATAAGAAATATAATTGATTTTGTATAAATAGTTTTAATTGAATTCTTAGAAAGTCAACCGATAAAATAATTTTAATTCATAATAACGCGAGAGTTGTGTTAAAAATGAAATTATAATTAAAGTTTATATTTTTGTAAAAATTTAATGTTGTATTGCTTTATCCCTGTCTAATAAGGAAAATTTGTCTGTTTTATGCAAAGTTTCGATTCACTTGAGGCATTTGAAACAGAATGTTTTAACGACGATTCTAAAATTTAATTAACTCGGATGATGAAAACTCATTCAAATTGTATAATAAGGATAAAAATAATACATTGGATAAAATAAAGTTTAATGTTTCATCGCACAAAATCTTTTCCTCTTGAATTTTTTTTTCCACATTAAAAATTATTTAGAGTCGAGTTGGATTCCTTTTTCACCAATCTGAAAACTCATTTATTTCTTACAACTATTATTGCTATACTATTCGCGAAGAAATAATTCAATGCTCATTTTTAAAAGATACGAGGATTGTTGCATATGGAGTGTCTATTTAGAAAAAAAAAGCTCTGATAATGAGATTTCTTACATAAAGGCTTTGTATGTTTACATTAAAAAGAAATATTACGTTCTGCTGTTTGTAGATGGAAATATATCGTCCATTTATTATAACTTTTATACACTATTTTATGTTTTTTATATTTTTTTCATCCTTAGACTTCTATCAATGTCATTTTAAAAATATTCACAAATCTTTTACAGTATACATAGAAAAATTGAGTTTAACTATTCGATGACTGTGAAAAACTATCCGTTTCGCTTTGTTAATCCTAGTTCTAATTTATATTAGTATTCTCTTTGTGCTGTATGTATGTTTGTTAGCAAACAAATGTTATTTTAAAAATTGTTGTATATTATACATCCTGAATTAAGGATTCTTACTTTATACTGTATCATAAAAGTAACTTCACAGACTCTTATATTTATCATATCTTATTGTAATTAAGGATTTTAGTGTTACTGAATAACAAAAATAGTAGCGACTAATACCAAGTAGAGTGAAAGAACATTTTTGGCGTTGCACTATACCAGAAACTACCTTTGGTGCTTGGTGTTACACTATAAGAAAAACTACCCTTGGTTCTTGGTGTTGTGAATCACTTAAGGTCCAAGAATAATACATGATGTTTCCCTACATCAATTTGGTGTAAAATAGTTGCATCTATTATTTGTGTTGAGATGGAAAAAAAAAGATTTTTTTCAACGTGTTATATTTTACTGTTTTCATAATATTTTTTCGAACGGAACACCGAAAATGGGGCAACTATATTCCCCATAAGGAGCATTTCTAGCGTTTCATGATACCATGAACTGTCATTCGCAGTAAAAAAATAGGATATTGCCTCTATTTTTGATGTTGAGGTAGTTTCTTGTTAACAATTGTAGTAACAACAGTTTGTAAACAATAGTCGTTTGTCAACAATCGATTACGATCTGTTGTTGTCTTTTATACATCTTCAGAAACAAAAAATCATTGCTAAGATATTTATGTTTGTTTTTAATTTATGTTTGCGATGTTTATTTACATTTTAATTTTAAAATCTCCGTGAAAACTGTATTAAATATATATATATATATACTCAAAATTAATGGTTCTTACTTTAAACTGTATCGTAAAAATTTGTTGCATCGTGTTATTGAAAGCTATTCATTTTAGATTTCTTAAGAATCAATGTAAGATATCAATTAAGTGTAAAATGAGTGTCATGAGTAATAAATGAGGAGGTTAATTTATTCCTAACATAAAAATGATTTGTCTTACAAATAGGATATTAACTTCATTGATTTTAAAATTTTAAATATATTTTAAAGTTTTTAAGAAAATATCAGTTTGTGGCGAAAAGTATCTAAGAATATTTATGAGTCATATTTGTATCTAAGTTTTTATGAAATTATGACTACATACTAAAATTTTAAAAGAGGGAAATACATTTACTACATAGAAATTAATTTTAATTTTTCCAATAAATTTAGGAAATTAAATATATTTTAACACAGCCGATAAACATATTATACAAGTGAAACACAACTCAAAAGGAACAGAAACTCAGTCAAGAATCAAAACAAACTCGACTTTCAGGAGTACTTTTTGGATGAAAATAGTCTGTATTTGCGTTACTTACCTTATACTTTAAAAAATATATTTTTAAAAAAAAAGTTAATTTCATTGCATTTTACTAAGTTTTTAAACGACTTAAAACTTAATTTATGTTAATAAGGAAATTTAACTTATTCATGGATGCAAATACAGATTATTTAACCCCTCCCAACAGTTGTAATTTTTAATATTAATGCAACGTTAACATCATAATTATTGTATCCTCAATTTCGTAATTATCAAAGTAAGCAAAATTCTTATCATCAGAATTAAAATATCTTAACCTTTTTAAGCTTGCAGAAATATGAAATTGTTTGCCAAAAATGAAGATTTTTATGCTAGTAAAACGTTAAAGTAAAAGGTATCTAAAATTTCATGCATGTAATAATATTAAACAATATATTTTTGACTCACCAGTGTGCTGCAACTGCTCCGAATTCTGCGGTACTGCTGTTTGACTTCTTAGCTGAACTATTATCCTCCTTGGATCCGAATGGATGGTATTGGTTACTAAATAAGTTACAAAAGGGAATTGGCCTGAAATTAAACAAAAGTTGCTTCAGTATTTAGCAAATAAACAAAGTGAAAGTGTACAAATTTTAATAAAAAAGATGAAGTTGAAAATTAAATTGAAAAACTAAATTTGAATTAACATTATACATAACAACTTTTGCTTCTACACTAAGCAGTATTCCTTAAGTGTATCAACTTGCATTTATTTTATTTCATACAAGTTGCATTGATTTTATTTTATAACTGTCAACAAACAGCCGACACAATCTTTGAGTTTACAACCACTAATGTTCAACTCCGCAGCCTTGTAATTTTGAACCCAATCCAGATGACAAGGGAACTCCTGAATCAAGTATTGCGAGAAATTTGCTTTCGGAGAGGACTTTTTGAGGGAACTAACCTGAATTTGCGTTACATGGAAAGTGTAATCATGGAAACCTCCCACGGTTAGACTGACCGCAGGGGAGCCACTAATCCATGATTCTTCTACCTCTGGGGATATTTTACGTCAGCATTGCGGTCGGTACGAATCGGGGGCGGAATTCACTTCGACAAGTTGACGCTGGCATTCGAAAACTGAAAAACCTCATTGCGAGGAGAGTGCTTTATCCCTTGAGCTATCACGACTTAAGTTGCATTTATAAATGTTGTAAACGGGGTTTAATAATTTATACAATAAGGCGTCCATATCGTATTTTGACTAGGCAGAAGAATAAGATTTCAGGTTAAGCCACGAAATATTTGTAATACTATGCACATTATATCCGGGTTCACAGGGTAGAGAACTAGTGAACCCGGTAAAAATCAGGTTCCGATTACTGTGATAGTTGGCTAATTCTCATACATTAAATTAAAATATTCACAGAGGTAGACAGATTATGCATATCTACGGAGCTAAAAGTGAAAAGTTTTTATGTTTTTCTCACCAGGTAATGAAAGTGATCACCTGGTAATGTGAATTTTTCACGAAAGCAAGTTTATTCCACTATTTCACTCAACATATCTATTATATTTTGAGAATCAGATTCGAAGTTCCTGAGAGAAACCTTATTTAAAGGAAGTTACTTAGAGTTGCATACTGTTCAGTGATGATAATGAAGCAAAATTAAAAATAAATATATAAATAAAAGGAAAGTGTGAACGCATGAAATATTATCCAATGCTTCAGTTTAATTTTAAATATTAAAACCGTATCTTATCATAAACTGAATATTATTGATGACGTTTTTTCGAAAAAGATTTCTGAAGGAAATTCTCGTAAGAATATTATTTTTAAACTTTTTCCAAATTTTTTTTCAACACATAAACTTGTCACTTGTTCTTTCTTTTCAGTATTACTTTCTTAAAGTTTTCCCACCTGCACTTTAGTTTTTGCTGTAATAAACATCACAATTTGGATATTTACAGAAATAATGGTAGCCATAGAGTTTCGAAAATGTTTTAGGCCAGCAGAAATAAAGTTTAGTGATTCTTGTAATCTGTTGAGCAAATCTGCATTTAAAATAATATCTTTAAGTTTATTAAGCCTAAACTGACATTTTCTTGGGGAAAAGGAATGGTCAAAACTATCAGGATGTGGTAAAATTTTCTGGCTTTATGAAAGCAGCAAAATGTACTGTAACTTTTACCCTAGAGCTTTGGTAATGATTTTTAGTTAAATATACAGTAAAATATTGCTTTATAATCATACTGTTTTGTAGTAAATGAGGTAATATTTGGTAATTTTAACAGCACTAGTGAAATTTTAAATACCACAAAAATGCTCAGTTTGATAACATTTACTTTATTTAGTAAACGCTTTTTAACTTTGTTTCCTGTCAATGAGTTGTTTTTCCTTCCATGTATTTATTACCTAACATCTACCAACTATAAAAAATCGATATTTTCAAATATACAAGTGCCTGCAAAAGACTGAACTAAATCATTATTTTGAATGTGTCCCATGTTCCTAAAACGGAAGCATGGAGGTATGAATGCAACCACAACCTTGGACACAACTAATTATTTATATATTTTTTTTTACACATACATATTTAGGGATTGTTACAACGTTCGGCTTATAAGCCCTTCACGAAAAGGACATCACGAAGATACAGGTATATACAGGGATACGAAGGGATACAAACCTACAACCTCTACGTTACAATCGATCTTTATAATGCGCTTACTTATGTAACGTGTGCTATTTCTTATATAACCTGACTTATAATAAATAGTATGTTGTCATGAGCATTCAGCCTACATATGTATGGGTAACAATAAATAAACAAATAATAACTTGAAATAGTAAGGATTTTTTTAAATTATTCATTTTAAAGGAGCCATCCGTGACCGACCATGTCTCGTCTTTTTGCCAATCGTTATTTAAAATGAACGAAGCTGGGTTCGAATCCCTTAACTCTGAATGTGTAACAATAACTATTTTGGCCAAGATACACATGCAGGCTCATGTACTCAAAGTAAAGAAAGGCTTATTTCTTTTTAGATTGAAGAACAAATTGCGTAAAAATAAGAAAGACATCACTAAGATATTGTCTCTTCAGAGGATTTGGTGGAAGGAACATACGGCAACAGCAAATCTAATAGGGTATGGTTGTTTTACTTACAATAATTTTACAAGGGGCCTTGTTTGACCTGCGGTATCGTTGTTCCTTTGGCCGTTTTGAAGTGTAGATGTAGTGGGATCGTATCCACTATAACGCTAGATGTCTATTCTTTGCTGTTTTTCTCAAATTTGTGCTATCTTTAATCGAGTTGATAAGACTTTTTTAGCCATACTTTGCATTTTCAACGTGTGTTATCTATAAGTGGAAGCATTAACAAATCCTACTATCCCCATAAAAAAGGAATAAAACAGTCAATGATATATCTGCGCTTAGTATCTTTCAAACACTTAAATTAAACATTTGAAGCCTTCCATTCATATCCTTTTCCCCCTTGTTATAGTTAAAAAAATATATTAGGAAAAGAAATAATTTCCTACCAATCCTTTAACTAAACCGATATTTTAAACAGATTATTACTATTCTGTTTGGTAAAAGAGATGGACATCAAAAGATTAAAATTGCAAAATAAATGGTACCGAGAAACATTTTGGTAATATTATCGTGGTACTAGAGCATGCCATAAAAACCATTTAATCGGTTTAACTTACTTTTCAGTTGCGTATTTTTACGAAATATGTGGTAATAACAGCTATAGTTTTGAAAACCAGAATTTTCGACAAACCGTTACCATAACAAACAGAAAAATTACCAAATGAATGGTTCAAATCACGTATGTTTTGGTTTAATTACCAGAATTATGTTTTTTTATTATCAGAAATGTCTCTATCATATACGGTAATATTATACGGTAAATGTGACTGAATTTTTTTCTCCATGTGGAAAACATATAAATATAATAATTAAAAACACACACAGAAGTGTTAAAATGATAAAAGAATTGTCATAAATTCTATGATTTGGCTTGGTATCAATTTGTGGATATCAATGATATTCATTAATATTTCTCCTACTTAAAAAAAGAGATAATGGCATTTATGTCCTCATCAACTAAAATGAAAATTTACTACTGATGCAAGATCTCAATTGATGAAAAATAAAATTAAATTTCAATCAAAATCAAGCTGAATCAAAAATGATAAAAAAAATTCGAGACAGGAAGTTTATTTATTTCTTTAAAGTAGAGCTCATTTAAACTTAAGAAGAGATGTTTGAACTTCGTCAGAAGTGTAATGAAAAATTATGAACGAAAAAAGGCCAAATTTTTCAACATGTCATAGAGTTATATTTTTCCAAAACCTTATTTTTTTCATAATTTTAGAAAAAAAGAAAAAAAATAAGAATAATTTATTTTCCAAGTTTAATATAATTCAATAAAAGAAAAATTACGAATCCAGCATAATATAACTTGTCAGTCAGTGCCAATAATTGCAAGACACGAGGCATTCTCTACATTTCTAAATATACAAATATACAGAAATATAAATGAATAAAATATAAAATTGTCTAATTTAGAGAGTTAATAATGCTTTTAAGATTCGTTGAGGAAACTCTTGCATTTCGTGTTTGCATTTAGAGTAAAAAAGAAACTTCAAACCAACCTTCATAATTCTAGTTCCAGTTACGGCCGCTTTGTACTAAATAAAAACTTAATTGGTCTAAGTATTAGTGCAAAAATTCATTTAAAACTCTGTAATTAAGTGTTGCGGGTGATTACAAAATGCTCATAAAAAATAAGTTTTTTTTTCTTTGTGAAACTATGAGACACAAAAAATGTCTTCTTTTTTTATTTTCCATGCATCATGTTTTTGTAGCATTGAAAACACAAAAATCAATTTTTTCCCTAAGAAAAATAAAATCTTCTTAAAACTCATTAGGATCAAAAAAACAATTTTTAAGAGCTTTAAATTAAGAAACGTATATATGGTAGGTCCAATTACTTCTTTAATAAAATTACAATACTCCGAATAACTTGCTTTAGGTGGCTCATGAGAAAGACTGTCTTGTAACACATTTAAGTTTTGAAATAATACAGGGGTATAAATTGTTTTTTCCTAATTAGAGAAAATCTCGAGAGACAAACAGGGAAAGTCTTTTCAAAATACTACTTTCCTAAATTTAGAAGGAAGACACCTAATTATAAACAACTTGTTCTGAACTAATTTGTTTTTTTTTCTAAGACAATTGGAAAATTCTTAATCTGTTTATTGCAAATTGTATAGCATAGAACTTAATTCATTTTCTTTTCAACCGGCATAATAATTTTACAAATTTGAGCTTTATAAGTTACCTACTTTTCAAAGTGATATTTATTTTAAAACATATTTTGGACCATTACTGATTAAAATAATTTAAATATTAAATGAGAAAATCGAATTGTGTTTTACGTTTACAATAAGCCGACCAGGTTGCCGAGCGAGGGCTGTGCCTGACTACGAAGCCAATGGTTGCGGGCTCGAATCTCGCTCAGGGCATTGATATTTCTCTCCTTGTGTTGCTGTATGAATGTGGCATACCCTA